CTACACTCGAGGATATCGATCAGGCCAGGGTAAATTGATCATTTTCACTGAATTTTTTTGGTTGTTGTCTTCTTTGTTTAAAGTTGGTTGAGAGTTGCTGGCAATGGGAAAGTTCAATTCGTCATTGTTGTGTCAATTCTTTGCTCTCACACAATTGAAGTTGTTTCTGCAATACAGTTGCTGTTAGCTCTCGGAAATTGGAATTCTCTGGACAATGAGACGATGCTCATAATGAGGGCGGTTTTTTTTTCTATTGAAACAGGTCCCTATTTTTCATATGAATACATTATTTATGACACAATTCATTTATTTTGACAATTTATACAATTGATTTATGTTTATAACAGCATCATTGTTTATCAAGTTACAGAATCGTCATGAGCTTTTTACATCAGAATCTCGCGAGTCATCAAGTAATGATAAAATGAGCGATAAATATTAAAGATTTATATGAGCAATATGAGATCTATCGACCACTTTTTTGGAAAGTAATCGGACGATAACGGCCACATACCCTTGTTCCCATTAATTCTCATAATTTTCTCAGACTCCAAACTCTACCTACCAGCCAATCGGAATTTAACGGGCAAAGACAGAAACATCATTAACGCCGATTCATTTTTTATCACCCAGTCGGAAATAATTGGACTGTTTAACCAGGGTAGCCTCCGATATGTATTTTTTCAACCTTCTAGCTTCAAATATTCCGTGCGTCAATGTTTGGCGCAACCCTGTCAGAGGTGATGGCACTCCAACGTGATCGTTTCCCCCAACGTGACCTCCCCTGGGTGCAGACAACGCTGACTCGCCAGGTGTTGGTGCGAGGGGGTACTCTCACAGAGGGAATTTTCCGTGTGTCAGCGGACGCTGATGAGGTCAGCGCGTTGAAATCGTGCCTGGACAGATTCGAGGATGGCGGATCTCTAGCCGCCTCTCAGGATGCTCACGCCCCTGCCTCGTTACTCAAACTCTGGGTGCGAGAGCTGTACGAGCCACTCATTCCAGACTCGTTCTATGCTGAGTGCGTGTCCATGAGGCATGATGAGTCGGAGGCTTCCGCAGCTGGCGCTGCTGCCATTATTGACAGACTTCCTGATCTCAACAGACGCGTATTGTGTCATTTGATGCGTTTCCTTCAGGTAATTAATTCATACTTTTCTGCCGTTCGTTCAGTGCATTATTCAATGCCTCGAGGGCCTCGAATAATGCATGAATTGTTATCATCAGGGATAGCGTGATTTATGATATTGAATTAGGGTTAAATTTTTACAGTTAAAGTCAAGTAAATGATTTCAGAGATAATTTTCACTACTTTATTTTATTGTTTTTTGTTTTATTGGTATAAGAGTCAAACAGCCGAGGCCAATTGCATGGGTTAAGGGTATCCAGGTGCTTGCATTTGAGCCCGATTTGACCCTAAATTTTCAAACCTTTTACAATAATTTTATTATTTAAACTTTGCACGTTGGAATTTGAATTTCGATATTGAACAGTTGGAAAACATTTTGAAAATCGGGGGACGGGGGTTGACACTTGTGAGAGCGGTTCACTGGGGGGTGCGTCGTCAGTTTTTGGGAATAAATTATGGGTTTTTTGGGTAAATATTCAAGGAAAAGTGATTGTAGGGGTTCCTTAAGGGGTAACGGTATCAGTGACAGATAAATAATTGACTGAGATCTTTGAGATTTTGTCCTGAATAATTTTCATATTTATAGGAGTAAAAAATTACAGATTTATTTACCACCGGAAACTGTAATGAAAAAAGTGAAATTGCTTGTCTACCATTGGACGAATTTCAAAATACAGATTTCACAGGCGTGGAACAGATGGGCGCGGAAATTAGTGGCCACAGGTGGTTAAACAGGGCTCGGTATTGCAGATACGCTCAGCGATTGTGTTATCAGTCGAATTTTTTAGTGCAACGGGACGTTGAGAGGTGGCGGGATTATTCTCATTTCAAGCGGAATTACAAACTGAATTCAACGGATCATCGGGCAGTAGAATATAATAAGTTGAATCAGCCAGGGAGGAAGTAGAAAAATTAACCGGTGCTTTTAGTGATTCAGTTTGTAATTCCGCTTTAAATGAGAAGAATCCCGCCATTTCTCAACGTGCCGCTGCACTAAAAATTACAACTGGTAAGCCATTTCGGTTGAATCTACAGTGTGATTATTAATATTTTGGTAAAATTACAAAAAGTAATGATTGATGCCGATCCTTAGTTATTATTCTTGGGAAATTCTGAAAATTTTTCAAGTCCCAATTCTTACAGGAGTTTTATACCAATTTTTACAGACAAACTGTTTATAAAAATAGTTGTAGAATTAAATCCAGAATTGCCGTTCACACTATGACCTGTCTCTAACAACAGGAATTTTTTTTTGTTCACAGATATTTGCAAGATCAGAAGTAGTCGCTCGTACTAAAATGGACGCCAATAATCTAGCAATGGTAATGGCACCAAATATATTACGTTGTACCTCACAGGACCCACGCGTTATACTTGAGAATGCAAGGAAAGAAATGGCTTTTGTTCGCATATTAATTGAGTCCCTGGACACAGCTTGGGTCGATGATCTTCACTGACCGTGCCATCATAACTAAAGGATAAAAAAATTAATCTTTGCACTAGCTCCCCCCTTCACTATGCCAAAAATACTAAGAGAAGAAAAACTTGATTTTTTGAAAGAAAAAAAAATCCGCTGTAAATTATCACCCTGTAATGTTAATTCCTTTTTTAAATTTTTTATTTGTCGTTTAGTGTCGTAATAATTGTGTTCACATGGAAATTATAATTAATATAAATAACGAGTTGCCATTTTTCTTCTGAAATTAGTCTCAGATCGCCTTGGCAATAAAAAAATGCGATTATATGATTAGTATGAAGTAATGCTAACGCCAATTGGAAATTCTCATTTCCCGTTTTTTCTATAAAACCACCAATCGCTATTTATTATTTATAAAAACAAAATCAAGAGTTGAAATACAAGTTTAATTCGGTGATTATTATATGTACAATATAACGCCTGATGTATATGTAATTTAATCGAAATGAAGTCTTGTTATCTTGTAAATTCTCATCATAAAGAAGTATCTCATTAAAAAAATATCATTGAGAGTAAATATGGCTTATTTCTGTAGAAAATTTCTTCACATTTTAATATTGATTTTTTAAATTTCTGTTGTTTTACTTTTGAAGTATTGGAATCGTTCTGCTTTTGGTTTTTCTAATTTTGCTTGGAAATGATGTCGAATGGTCTGAAATGTAAACATACGAAGTTTGACGACCATTTCGTCGTTGCATGTCAGAGTAAGTGGGGCGTAATAAGTGTATGTATTAGCATAGCTAATACAATAATTTCCTCCTTTTGGCTCTACGACAACAAATGTACGTTCGTGGGTCTATCCGGTGGCCAGCAGTCATAAAATCGAAGATTTGAGGGATTAAAATAATTTTTAAAAATTCTCAAATTTATCTGATACATCAATCACCTATTCTGCTTATTTCGTCCTGATCTTTTGTCTTCGGCTTCATTTTTGCCCTCCGGCCATCAATATTGTAATACCTGGAGTCACGCATTTCACATCAGCCAATACTGGGTGAATAAAACCAACACCATTTTTTCCAAAATTTGATGGATTTTCGATTACGAGGAGAACATGGAAAAAACGACTAGTGGATGTAATTGTTGGTATGTTCAGTGGGGCAGGTATGTACATCACAGATATTACTTATGCACAGGAAATTCATAAGTGCACCCGTCGAATTTTCCACGTAAGTTGATGGAATCAATTTTAAGTCATCGAGAAGTCTTCGAGAAGCCCATTATGGGCAGTCACATGAGGAGTGATTAATAATGGACAAGGGCTCATTAATTGAGAAAGGGAAATGGACGGGGGAGGAAAATGGAAGGTCTGAGAGAGATTTAAATCGTACCCCCAGAGTAACTTCATCAAACCTCCTCTCTTTTTAAAAATTCATTAAAAAATTTTGGCTTGAAACCGAGGATTTAGTACAGATCAAAATATAATTACCTGAAAAAGAGGAATTATGTACACGGCTGGCCACGATACCGAGACTAGTCTCAGGAGCACGTCCAGAATTTTCGAGTCGATAAAATTCAAAAACAAAATTCACGGTCTCACCAGGAGCAACTACCAAAGATTACACTGATTACAAATGATCACCACTTGATTACCAAAACTTGATTACAAATATGGCAATCATGTGATTACAATGATTACATTGATTTCACTGGGATTGCAATTGATTCCATCAGCGAGTGACAACACGATTACGCCTGTGCATAGCCCCTCGGATTCAAATCAAAATCTTCCGCAATATGGAATATTAATTGTTATGATATAAAATTCGAGTAGGAAAAAGACCTTGATAAGAATCGCCGCAATAATCCTTAGAGAGCTCACTTGATTATTTTTTTAAAATAAATTACGCCAAATTTATCTTGATCAGTTTCGACTAGGGAATGATGATTCCTTTATTTTTTCATGAAAAAATACCAACGACGAGGCGAAGCGATGCGGCGGTATGCGATGCAGCGTATGATGTACGCTGGTTTTCAACAGAATCGAGAGTTTTCAAAAATAGATATTAATAAATATCATAAACATAAAAACGTTCATTTCGTACTATTCCAGTGCGTTAGTCCCGACTCACCGAGACTTCTTTTATATAACATTTTCATCCCCTATGACAGGTGACATGGAACTGACAGTTTAATTCAATCGATATAATATTGTAAGTGAGAATTTCATCGTCGCGCACGCGATCATTATGTATTTATCATAGAAAAAAAGACCGGGCAGAGTGTGAACGTGAGAAAAAATGGAATAAAAAACGATCCAAGTTATTTCTTTAATGTCTATTCCTGACATTCTCCGTTCTAGACACCATGGCGTCTCGTCCCAGTGATTCTTGGGCGGTGAGACTAACAGCTTTCTTCTTGCAATGCTGCGGTTTTTGGACTACAGATTCACAACGTGGAAAGATCATTATGAATGTACTTTTGTTATACACAATCGGTGGACTTGTAACTTCATTTGTCACGACTGCTATTGATATTTATCACTGTTTTGGAGATTTTGATGTAAGTTTGACATATGCAACTGTAGAAAAATTTTATATCATGTGGATATTAGGGAAATGGGGGGAGATTCACTTCTTATAATCAGCAGTCACTCGAAATCGGTTCACGAACAAAATAAGAAAATGAAGCAAGTGGAGTGTTTTGAGTTATGAGTGAAGATTTTGTGCTGTAGCTCAATCGGTCGGTTTTCCCATAGGATTTTATAGGAATTCTGTGGGGTTTCTATAGAATTCCAATAGGAATCCTATAGAAACCCCACGGAATTCGTATAGAATTCCCACAGAATTTTTTAGCGAATTCGTTGGGTTTCCCATTGAATTTTTTCAGGCGTGAATGGATTCATTTCTACGGAGTCGACAAATTTTTTTTGGGTCCGATAAAACGAACTCATTTAACCGCACTAGTACAGTAATTCCTTACATATTTCCACCGTATTCTTTTCTGAGTGGATTTAGATTTACGATTTGAAAATTACCCCTAGTTGGTTACCATATGAGAACTCCCGATTGGTCACCGCCGCCGTGTTAATAGGCCCGAGCGTTGCCGAATTCACTCTATACTGCCCGGGCGCGTTTAGCGAGACTTCGGCAACGTCGCACAACGGGCAATTTCATTTAACATGGGAAAAAATTGCCCGTCTGTTAGAAATAATTTTTTTTCTTCAGGAATTGTGGATATAAATAATTTTAAAAAATATTATAATTTTCTAGACACTTGAATTGACGCATTCCAATTTTTTAGGATTTTTCCGTTCAGCCAGTCAATGGTAAGAAAAAAAAATCTACCTTCTGCGGCGTTTCCCTCCTATGGTGACCAACTAGGGTTAAACAACAGTCATTGAATTTTCCATTGTTACCCGTGAATTGAAGACGTGAAAAATCGAATTCTGTATGTAGCAAATGAAGTAGTTTGTCTCGTCGTGGACAATCACAACAATTTTCATGACTGACGACGTTTCATAGAAATTTACTTATTGCAGTATGAATGTATTCACCGTAGGATTTGGCTTTTATAAGCTTATAGCTTTCCTTCTGAAACGCAAAGAATTTCTGAATTTGATTTCCCACATCATGGAGCACTTTTGGAATGTCGATTACGATGATTATGGATCCACTGTAATGAAAGATTGCATGTTGAGATGCACGAGAATTGTGACGTTTGCCATTTTCATGTGTCATTTGACAATTTCAATGCATTATGTAAAAGCGCTAATAGGTAATTCAAAATTTTACGATTAGGGGAGGTTGGGGTAAAATGGACACTTTTGAGTTTTTTTAAAATATTAGTGATGGGTTGAAATGTTGATGAAATTTAATAATTTTTTTTTCAATACAAAGAACAATTCTTTCCCTCTGAGATGAGCCTAAACTGAGCTCTATGGTTACATTTGTTTCTGAGTTATGAATAATTTTAAAAAAAATCTAAAGTGTCCATTTTACCCTACCCTCCCCTAATTACGATAAATTCGAAGAATAATCGCTGTGATCGCAGAGAATCGAGGGAAAAATGAGAGCGACAGAGACTTCCCCTTTCGATTTTATTCCGATCTACCGCTTTCTCTCTCCCCCTGGTTTGAGATATTGTTCGTCGCACAAGTAAGTCTTGCTCAAGAATGATTATTGATATTTTTATTGGACGATATATTGTGCATATTTTCTGCAGATATTCGCTTCATACCCATGCTGCTATACCTACTTTTGCTTCGAAAACTTCTTGTGTCAAATAAACATCACTGTTGTTGGACAATTTCTGATATTGAACAAAGAGATGCGGGAGATTTGTGACACTAAAGACACGTCATCGTTGTCTATCGAAAGTGGTATTCGTCCACGATTGGTGAGGTGTGTTCAGAAACATCAGCATCTGATAGCTTGTGTTGAAACCACCAAAGAACTGTATCGAAGTGTAATGCTTGGAGTAGTCATTCTCCTCAGTTTTTTGATTTGCCTGGAGATGTTTGAGCTCATGGTGGTAAGACAGCGATTTGAGATAATTTTATTCAACAATTCACAGCACTTGGTTTTACTGTTTTCCGTGAAGCAGAACAATTACAAGAGTCAAACGATCGCAAGGGTCCAGGATCAAGATAAGAGCTTTCCGATTATTCTACTTCATTTGAGATTGCGACCCTTGTGATTGTCCATTCTGATCCCATTAGTGGTCAATTATTATTCTTATTTGTTCTTCAAGTCGGCCAACAGCAACACATTCTATACATTCCATTACTGTCTATATGCTGGAGGAAGTATAGTGCAACTGTACTTTTACACATTATCATGTGATAAACTGACGGAGGCTAGTGAGTCATTATCCGATGCAGCATACGATGTACGTTGGTATTTAACAGAATCAGGGGCTTCGAAAAATCAATTGGTGAAGGACCTGATGATGATTATCATGAGATCACAGAGGGCCTGCAGTCTGACAGTCGGGGGGTTCACGCCGGTCACCTTGCAGACGTTCACATCGGCAAGTCATCCATATTTTGATTCAATTTAATTTCAGTATCCCTGCATTATCAATGAACCGTTCATAAGTTTTTTATTTCTGCAGATATGCAATACTGCTTTCTCATTTTTAACTCTCATCAGACAGAGCGTTTAGAAGAATAATAATTACTGACAAAATCGCCAGAAGATGAAGCTGTGATATGGTCATGTACAAATTTCTAGTTGATTTTAAATTTGTTGATAGTCAAATGTAATAAACTAATCGTTCTTCATGGAGTCAATCGGATTCATTGTGTCCCCCGCATTGTGTGGGATTTCAGGTGATCATTGAAATTATTTGGGAGGGAAAATGATCCCAACGTCAATGTTTTCAAGTGGTTTACAGCACGATTTCATTGACGAAGAAGGAAAATAATATTAGTAATCATTCACGATACCTGGTTCCATAAACTCCTTTCTCACCTTTAATAATCAACTACACAAAGATTGATTCGGCGTGTAGTATAATGCAAATATTGCTCTGTAGAGGACAGATCTTTGGAATTTACAACTTCAGATAATTCAAACCGAATGCAATATTGAAGCAGTTTAATACACATAATGGTACCCATGTTCGTGTGGATTAGGTGTAAGCGATGAATATTCATGACGAATCTACTGTTAGTCTAGTCTCCAACTTATTATTGCTCACGTATTTTCCGTTCTTTATCACGTAAAGGTTTAATGCGTTATGAGATTACTAAGTTACATAGCCGATCGAATATTGCCAGCCTTCAGTTGGCTGCCGCTCCCCTAGACTTCCCCATAATGCCAGCGATCCACGCACCAAATGCAACGTAGGTACATATCGTGATACAATCGATAACAAATTTCGGAGAAGACCATTTTGATGCAATACACGCGATCATTATGTATTCATCACACCGTCGGTGCGCCGAGTGTGAACGTGGAAAAGGCGGGAATAAAAAATGATAGAAAGGATGACTTCTATTTCTACTCTCGAAGTTCCCGCTTCTAGACCCCATGGCGTCGCCTCCAGGTAACTCTTGGGCGGTGACATTCACAGCTTTCTTTTTGAAATGTTGCGGATTTTGGCCTGCCAATTCAAAATTTGGCAAACTAATTATGGATGGACTTGTGGTGTACACAATTAGTGCAGTAATAGGGGCACTTTTTTTCACCCTCATAGATCTTTACAAGTGTTACGGCGATGTGGATGTGAGTTCTGAATGGGCACCCATGGAAAAATTTCATTCTTGATTGAGAATAACTTGAAATTTGTTGCCAAGTTATTGAAAATATGGCAAATGAAGTTTATCTATGGGTGGACAAACGAATATTTCACGATTTTCAACGCTTTATAGAAATTTACGTATTCTACAATGATTTTCTTTACAGGAGGATTTGGCTTGTATAAAGTTGTATCTTTTGCATTGAAACGTAAATCGTTTCTAGATTTAATTCTTTACGCCAAAAGACACTTTTGGGATATTGAGTATGAAGGCTATGGCGCTGATGTAATGAGGAAGTGTATGTTGCGATTGACCGGAATTGTGACATTTGCCATTTTCATGTGTCATTTGACGGTTGTGCTTCACTATATAATCCCATTACTAGGTAATCTGTAGTGTTGCCCGCTCTTGTATAGTATGTAATGAGGGAATAATTACTGTCACCACAGAGAATCGAGGGAAAAATGAGAGTGACAGAATCTTCCCCTTCCGATTGTATTCCGATTTACCGATTACTCTGTCGCCCTGGTATGAGATCCTCTACCTTGGACAGGTGAGTCTTCTTGAATTATATCCCATGCAGGATTTGCCGATGTATACAATATGCATACATTCTCGCTGTCGGTCATCATCGGCCAACTCCGGGGGGATGTAGACCCGATGTTCCGACGTTGTAATTTCCCGTTGTTTCGTTATTTCAGTTCAGTAAACATTTCTGCGTTTTCTAACAGGTAATCGCGACGTGGCCATGCTGTTATTGTTACTTTTGCTTCGACAATTTCTTGTGTCAAATGAACATCACTGCCGTTGGACAATTTGTGATCCTGCAGAAAGAAATGCGAGAGATTTGTGACAATCTTGATGGTTCTCGTTTATTGAATGAGAAAAACATTCAATCACGATTCATTAGGTGTGTTCGGAGACATCAACAGTTAATAGATTTCGTAGAGGACATCCGAGAACTTTATCGGAGTGTGATGCTTGGAGTAGTTATTCTTCTCAGCTTTTTGATTTGCCTGGAGATGTTTCAGCTCATGACCGTAAGATTATGATCACCAGCAATTTATTTTTGTGAAGTATCGTGAAAACTGATTGACTTTCCCTGGAGATTAACCTTTTTTTTCAATGACTTTATCGAAAGTCCACTAGCAGCACGAAACTCTCTACATTCCATTATTGCGTGTATGTTGGGGGAAGTATAACGCAATTATACTTTTATACAATGACATGTGATAATCTGACTGAGGCAAGTCTTGCTATATCCAATGCGGCATATGACGTACGGTGGTTTTCAATAAAATCGGAGGCTTTGAAAAATCGATTGGTAAAGGATCTATCGATGGTTATCATGCGGTCGCAAAGAGCCTGCACTTTGACGGTCGGTGGATTTGCACCGGTCACTTTGCAGACATTCACATCGGTAAGCCATTTCATCCAGATTTCTCTATTTCGTGAGAATAGACCAATGAGTGTGCCATAATACCAAATTTTCAGCACCAGAAGTAGATTGAGATTTTTATGATATAGAGGGTAAATCCGAGAGAAATTTCTGTTGCGCGTAGCAAAAATTTCACTACCGGTGCATAAATTTTTTCCGATTCCTCAAAAGGAATCCATTTTATGGTAGTATTTTGTTCTCCGTGTGGTTGAAGAATGCTAATTTTCAAGGACTAGAGCGGAGTGTAATACATAAACACCCTAACGGTTCAATTGCTGTTGACGACTGACATTAATTGTCAAGAAGCCTCGTTAAAGCAATTGAATCTTTCCATATATTTATCAGTGAGAAAGGATTCTTATAAATTATGTCATATTTTTATGTTTGCAGATTTGCCATACTGCCTTCTCATTTTTAGCTCTTATCAGGCAGACGATTCAAAAAAATGATTCGTAACAATTACAGTGTAAAGAAGTGGTATAGAATTGCAGTGGATTTTTTTTTTTGCAAATATATAATGCATATTATTCTTCTTCGTTGGCTCAGTTGTGGATTCATTATTCACCTAAGGGAAAGTCCTCATGTTGAACCTCCAATTAATTGAAAATGGAGATATCAACCCACACGGAAAATTATACATGTGGAACATATATAAATAAATCCCTATTCCACATAGAGACGCATATATGGTGCCTATATTGTACATACAAGTGCTTTACAGCATTTTTGGCTGATTTCTATATATTAAAACTGTATGTATTACGTATACAGCTATTATGCGATGGTATATGCAATATATATGTCATCATATATATATATATATATGCAAAAACTGGCCAATAGTCAAAATCAACTTAACCCGGTTTACCGCTTCGGTATTAAATTGTTTTAAAGTTTTTGGATACTGCCCCACTGTGCCCCCAACTGTAATACATTGGAGACGCGCGTTGATAATTTTAGAATGTGAATAGTGATGGCTAAAAAGCAATATACAGTAGAGGCTTCGTATAAGATACCTCTCTATAAGATACCTCGCGCTCCAAGCGCGAACGGACTACCCCCACCCTCAGCACTTTTAATGTCTCCCGAATATTTATGTTCCGTGGGTTTCTTATAAGATACCTATGGCCCCGGTCATTTTTCGACGGGAAGACAGTAGTTATAAGGATCGAACAGTGTTAAGGGTCAAACGGGAAGGACGAACGAAGTGATCATGAGGGTCTAATGACCTTCAGGGGAGGTTACACCACTTTTTTCAAGTAATGGAAATATACATAGATTTTTTTTTCACTTTTCCCATCGAAAAATCGTAATTTTTCGTCTGATGTCATTATTCTCGAGTCCACCAACAATCCCCCAACATCAGCTGCCATTCTATCACGCGGAGTTACGTTTAGAGAGAAAAGGGACCGCGGGCGATACAAATTCAAAACATTAAACACATATAAATTGATTAGTTATCGATATTCATTCAGTAAAAATGAAAATTTCATTGAATTCGGGCGCAACGAGCGAGGAATCTCATTTGAAACCCGCTGATCCCTTTTTTTCTTCTATCAATGGTTGCGCGTAGTGGGGGCACAGGGGTTCCCGGAATTCCACTCTCCCACTGTCCCTAAGGTATCTTATACGAAGCCTCTACTGCAATTATGATAGAAGCTCTGACACCCGCCTCTTTGTCCTAGCTACCCCACTTCGCCCCGGTCTCCCCTAAGCAAGTGTAATATAGAAATTCAATGAATCGGTCGCGCAAAGAAAATTTGGAGTGTATGAAGTTTCTTACAGTATCAGATTGATGTTGATAACTATTACTGCCGCGTTTTTTCCATTATTTACCGTAGTAACGTTCAACACGGTATGGGTTTGCAAGTAGTCATAGTTGCTCGAATATTGCCAGTCTTAACTTCGCTGCAGCTCCCCCAAACTTCTCCATAAGACCAGCGCACCACGCGCCAAATGCAACGTAGATAGATATCGTAATGCAATCGATAAAAAATTTCGGGGAAAGCCATTTCGGTGTAACACACGCGATCATTATGTATTCATCACACCGAGGGTGCGCCGAGCGTGAGCGCGGAAATTGAGGGAATCGGAAATGATACTATGTTGGATGTCATTTCTGTTCTCGAAGTTCCCTCTTCCAGATACCATGACAGCACCGCCGGCTAATTCTTGGGCGGTGACCCTCACAACTTTCTTCTTGAAATGTTCCGGATTTTGGCCTGCAAATACAAAATTAGGGGAACAATTTATGGATGGGCTCGTTGTGTACACAATTACATCAGTAATAGGGGCACTTTTCTTCACCCTCATAGATCTTTACAAGTGTTATGGAGATATGGATGTGAGTTATGAATGTACACCCATAGAAAAATTTTATTCTTGATTGAGAACAACTTGAGAATGCGATGAATGAAATTTGCCTGTGGGTGTACAAACGAATATTTTACGATTTGCTTTGTAGAAATTTACCTATTCTACTATGATTACCTTTACAGGAGCATTTGGCACTTTTAAAGTTATATCTTTTGCATTCAAACGTAAATCATTTCTAGATTTAGTTTGTTACGCCAAAAAACACTTTTGGAATGTTGAATATGAAAATTACGGCGCTAATATCATGAAGGAGTGTATGTTGCGATTGTCCGGAATTGTAACATTTGCTGTTTTCATGTGTCATTTGACGGTTGTGCTTCACTATATAATCCCATTACTAGGTAATCTGTAGTGTTGCCCGCTCTTGTATAGTATGTAATGAGGAAATAATTACTGTTACCACAGAGAATCGAGGGAAAAATGAGAGTGACAGAATCTTCCCCTTCCGATTGTATTCCGATTTACCGATTACTCTGTCGCCCTGGTATGAGATCCTCTATGTTGGACAGGTGAGTTGTTCACAGATCGATATAAATCATTACTAATATTATGAGAAGTTGCACATTATAATAATTTAGATTTATTGATCGTAATTGAAATTTGAAAATTAATACACGGAGAGAAATATTCAATAAAAATTACGTCTTTTCCGTAATTCTGGAGCGAATTGTGAGTTCCGTAATTTTTACTGAACATTTCTCTCCGTGTATAATAATTGGTAATTCAATTTCTCAATTATTGGTTGATAGAGTAATTCGGAATTTGAATATTTCAATTGATGGTAATATTAACAATTGACTCATTCCAAATTTAACTGTAATTCAAAATTTCGATTATGCCGATGTCCGGTCTTGTTGGATTATATATAATTTCCCCATATCATTCCAGTTCAATGAAAAGTTCTGTTTTCGTGCAGATAATCGCTACATGGCCATGCTGTTACTGTTACTTTTGCTTCGACAACTTCTTGTGTCAAATGAATATCACTGCTGTTGGACAATTTGTGATACTGCAAAAAGAAATGCGAGAGATTTGTGACAATCATGATGGATCGCGTGCATCGAATGAGCATAACATTCGATCACGATTCGTGAGGTGCGTTCGGAGACATCAGCAGTTGATAGATTTCGTGGAGAACGTCAAAGAACTTTATCGGAGTGTGATGCTTGGAGTAGTTATTCTTCTCAGCTTTTTGATTTGCCTGGAGATGTTTCAACTCATGACCGTAAGATCATGATTTCCAGCCGTTTTTTTAAGTTGTTCACGAAAAATCAAGATATCTTTTTTAATTTTTGTGAAGTATCTTGAAAACTTTTTACTAAAGACTAAACTTTTTACTAAAGATTCATTTTTTTTTACCATTTTATCGAAAGTCAACTAACAGCAACAAAATTACTACATTCCATTATTGTGTGTATGTTGGAGGAAGTATAACGCAATTATACTTTTATACAATGACATGTGATAATCTGACTGAGGCAAGTCTTGCGATATCCAATGCGGCATATGATGTACAGTGGTTTTCAATAGAATCGGAGGCTTTCAAAAATCGATTGGTAAAGGATCTATCGATGGTTATCATGCGGTCGCAAAGAGCCTGCTCTCTGACGATCGGTGGATTTGCACCGGTCACTTTGCAGACATTCACATCGGTAAGCCATTTCATCCAGATTTCAGATGCCTGTGTAACTGTGTGTTCCTGCGCAACTCTATCCCGCGAGAATAGATCAATGAGGGATTTAGATATAACAGAAGGCCACCGTTTCCACGAAATTATCAAACAAATTTTCTGCTCAAAGTTATTAATATTTTTCGAACCCAATGCACATTGATCTTCCTTATCGCTTCGTGAAGATTAATGTGTTTGGATTTGTAAAAATATCGATAACTTTCAGCAGAAAATTTGTTCAAAAAATTGGAAAATCAGCGGCATTCTGTTACCCCTTAAGAAAGGATTCTCATAAGTCATGTCATCTTTTTATTTTACAGATTTGCCATACTGCCTTCTCATTTTTAGCTCTTATCAGGCAGACGCTCGAGAAGGATAAATCATAACTACAATGTAATGAAGTGGTGTAGATTAGCAGCGGATTATTTTTTTTGCAAATATATATTGCATATTATTCTCGAGAGGTCAGTTGTGAATTTATCCCGACGTCGATGGCGGAGGGATAAACTTCGGCGATGGCGGAGTGGGCTAGGCGCAAGTCTAGTGTGCGAAAGGTTGCGAGTTCGATCCCAAGTGGAACCGAATTTTTCAACGGGAGGCTCCGGCGAGCGGGAGGTTCCCGAGTGGAAATTCTGTTCAGGTCTCGATCAGAAACTAATCAAGTCCGATCCGAATTTCTGATCAGGCATGTTACGCCTCTGCCTCATGTTTTTCCACTAGGGTTGCTAATGGAGTAACCACCTTGTACCGGCATGGTTTTCCTGTGGTTTCCCATGCTACTTCTATGTTCTCTAGGACGTCACAAAGAGGTAGAACGCTATTAAAATTCCCTTCTTTAAGGGGTACCAGAATGCGGCCAATTTTCCAAACTTTTCAACAAATTTTCTGCCCAAAGTTATCGATATTTTTGAAAATCGAAGCACATCAATCTCCAGGAGGTGATGATGAAGGTCAATGTGCTCTGGGTTCAAAAAATACTAATAACTTTGAGCGGGAAATTTGGTTGAAAATTTCCAGGAAATGTTGGCCTTCTGTTCCCCCTTAATGTGAAAATGACTGTCGTAAGAAGGACGGCGGAGCTCAATGTGTACCAGAAATTTGAAATGAAGAAATGGCTAGGAGCCGGATAGCTCACTTGGAAGAGCACTCGATGCATAATCGGAAGGTCTCGGGTTCAAATCCCGGTCTGGTCCATTAAGGGAGGTGGGGGCAAAATGGACACCTTAAGGAAAAAAACTCTACTCCGAGGAAAATACTTTGAGAGGCTTTCTAATGATCCATGATATAACACAAAAAAACAATAAGACCTATTCATGGAATTATTTCTAGAAGGGGTAGCGGTAGGGGCAAAATGAACACCGCCGAAAATACGAAAATATTTAATTTTTTTGAGACCGCGGTGAAATTTGAAAGTCTTTGTTGCAGTTAGGTACTCGTTTAGCAAATATTGATATATGATGGTGTACAAAAAATCAGAGAAATGATTACCATAATTGATTTTGCCCCGTAAATCAACCCGAGTCGACATTTTTCCTTTTTTCACATTGCCCCCCCCCCCTTCAATTTTTTAAATATCAGGCACCATCTGTACGTATGACCTCGGCAAATATCCACATTTTGAACCTTTGGTGCTCAAATGATGAAAAAACAAACAAAGAAATCGAGAAACATAAAAATTTCGAGGGTGTCCATTTTTCCCTCACTGTCCATTTTACCCCCACCTCCCCTATTTTCAGTTAAAATTTTCTGGTTATTCATGTTGAAAATAATCCCCTCCTACCTCATCCAAATCCCATCCAATCATTTCCTATGACCTCACAAAGATGTAGAACGCTATATAACAGCAATGCGATGAATGAAGAAAGTCTCGCACATGAATCATCGTCACGAATCGAGTTAGTACGCATCAAAATTGCATATTCGGCGAGGGAACCGCAATAACGATGTTCTCTGAGGCAGTTTATGCCGTAGAAAAAAATAACGATTAATAAAAAAATGGGAAATTTTTGGTGAAAACGTAGCAACAGTATATGAAGAAAATGAGACTAGTCCCATATTTTAATTTTTTTTTGTTCATACTGCACACGTTCAAAGTCTAGGGCCTATACTTTTCAATTCGATAGCAGTCGAGCCTCTAGTTAGCTACAGCTCGCTCCAGCGTATTTCCTATGACAGCTTTTCCACTCATCAAACATCACGCAACGGTACCTCATTACCCAATCGATATGAAATTTCGAAGAAAATAATTTTACCGGTCCACATGCGATCATCACCTATTCATGATATCAGCGAGGGCAAGGTGTGAACGTGAGAAAAGACCAAGTACATAATGATACAAGGTACCTCATGTATTTCGATAGTTGAAGGTCTCTCTTCCAGACGCCATGGCGTCACCTCCGGGTGAATCTTGGGCGGTAAAATGGACAGCTTTCTTTTTGAAATGTTCCGGATTTTGGCCTTTCGATTCGAAATCTGCGAAATTCGCTATGGATGCACTTGTGGTTTACACAATTAGCGCTGTGCTAGGGGCTATAGGTTTCACTACCGTAGATGTTTTTAAGTGTGTTAACGATATCGAGGTGAGTTATCAATATTGGGCCCATAGAGAAATTTTTTTTGATGTTACAAGTGGAAGTTTTTTTATTGGTTATAACTGAAAATTAATGCTGACAATAATGAAGCCACCGAGATGTGATATTAATAAACTATTTGTCATCTACAATTGGAAATGCGGGAAATCTGATTTTGAAATATCTGACTCTGTATAACTCTTGGATGAGGTAATGAAATTTGTCTATGGGTCTAAGAAGAATTCTCTACGACTTTCAACGCTTAATAGAAATTTACCTATTCCAGTATGAATCTGATTACAGTGCTATTTTGTTTGTATAAAGTTGTATCTTTTGCATTAAAACGCCGACAGTTTCTGGATTTAATTCGATACGCCAAGAAGCACTTTTGGTATATTGAGTATGAAGAATATGGCGCTGCTGTAATGAACGAGTGCATGAGGAGATTGACAGGAATCGTAGCATTTGCAATTTTCATGTGTCATTTGACGATATCAATTCATTACATAAGACCGCTACTAGGTAACTTTCAATAAGACACTTTGTAGTGCCAAATGAAAATGGAACAATTACTGTTATCACAGAGAATCGAGGGAGAAATGGGAGTGACAGGGAATTCCCGTTCCGATTGTATTCCAATTTACCGATTAAAGTGTCACCCTGGTATGAGATTTTATATCTTGCGCAGGTGAATCTCTTTAAATGGGAATTTTTAATGCTACGACAGTTCCCTGAAAGTTTTCATGTATTTTCTCGTAGATTTTCTCAACGTGGCCTTGTTGCTACACTTACTTTTGCTTCGACAATTTCTTATGTCAAATGAACATCACTGCCACCGGACAATTTGTGATACTGCAGAAAGAATTGAGAGAGATTTGCGATAAGCGAAATGAATCAACTGTAGTCAACGAAATTCACGTTCGATCACGATTTGTGAGGTGTATTCGGAGACATCAACAGCTAATTGCTTTCGTCGAGGACATCAAAGAACTTTATCGAAGTGTAATGCTTGGAGTAGTTATTCTCCTCAGTTTCTTAATTTGCATGGAGATGGTTCAGCTCATGACCGTATGATTTTCATGCATCTCAATTTTATTCTGTAATTGATGAGTAATTAACCCAAGTCTGGTCACCTGACGGGAAAATGCGACTTTAGTCACCTTCGCGGGAGAGTGCCGCCGTGTTATTTAGGCTCCAGCGTTGCCGAATCCACTCTACACTTCCCGGGCGCGTTTAGCGAGTTCCCAGCAACGTCGCGCAGCAGGCTATTTCAGTTAACGCGGGAAAAAATTGTTCACCTGTTGAAAATAATTTTTTTTCTCCCAAAATTAAGCATACAATATTTTTTTAAAAATACTAGAATTTTCCAGATACTTCAATTGACGAATTCAATTTTTCTCAAATTTTTCCGGTCAACCAGTCGATGGCAAGGTGAATAAAACGACGTGTTGCGGCAATTCCCTCGCATGGCGACCAGTCTAGGGTTAAGATATTCATTTAACCCCTCACGTACGGCGTCGATACCATGCATCGACCCTTTCCGTCAATAATAAAAAATCATTTTCTCGAATTCTAAGAGACATATTGACATTTGGAAAAGATATTTGGAAAGTCAATAGAACTGTCTCTACAGTGAACTATTTTTTTTTTCAATGCATTTATAATATTTTTTTCTATGAACAAAAGGTGTAGATGAAAATTTTACAGCCAACCGATTCAATCATATTAAATCATCTCATGTATCGACAAAATTTCCCCCAACAATGTTGAAATTTTTACTGAAAATACTTCAATGGTCCTTCTATCGAATGGCAGAAGTGAAATTTCGATTTGTCGAATAATTTGTTTGTTATAAATAAATTTATCACTTTCGAACGTCTCGGCAATCAATTGTCGGCAAACATTGAAATTGGTGTCAAAAATTAGGAAATTCTCTAGGAGTCTATTTCAAAGTTCAATACAGCCAATGCAGCCAATGCATTTTATTTCAATTATTTTCGTTCGACTGCTTTTCAAGTTATCGTTCGTTGGGACAATCCGCGTTATTATACGGGCGCCGTACGTGAGGGGTTAATTTCCGTAAATCTAATCGAAACTTCTCGTACTAAATTTTCACTTGAGATTACTTATTCCTTCGCTATTTCATGAAAAGTCATCCAGCAGCAGCGCACTCTCTACATTCCATTACTGTGTATACGTTGGGGGAAGTATAACACAATTATACTTTTACACAATGTCATGTGATAATCTCACTGGTGCAAGCCTCGCAATATCCGACGCAGCTTATGATGTACGATGGTTTATCATCAAATCAGGTGCTTCAAAAAATCAATTCGTAAAAGATCTGTCGATGGTTATCATGAGGTCGCAGCGAGCATGTACTCTGACGGTCGGCGGATTTGCACCGGTCACTTTGCAGACATTTACATCGGCAAGTAATTTTTATCGAAATCTTTGATTTTGATCATGTCTTCGTGAACAATGTTGTTATTAGTGATGTTTCCATTTCCACAGATTTGCCATACTGCATTCTCATTTTTAGCACTGGTCAGGCAGACACTTCGAGACAATGAGCAATAAATTCAATGTAACGGAATTCTGCACAGTTGCTCGATCTCTATTATTCCTTGCTATATATCATGCAAATTATTCGTTTCCATAGACTTGTTTAGAGTGATGGAATAATTATGCAATGTTATTCTCTGAACTTTGGCTGTATTAAGAGAAAATTGCTTCTGTAGCCGTATCACTGTTTTTTAACTTCATATTCATCCAGGTTAGTCGTCACTATTACAATTATGTTGTGTCATAAAATGATTATGGGCTATGATGATCTTGAGAATCCCTCTCAACAATCATTCTAATTCAAAACTATTTAAGGCGGTGGGGGGAGGGGGGGAGGCACCTTAAGCGGAAAGTCAGCGATTAGGTACTTTCTGACTAGCAATTTCATCGGGTTCAAATGAAGTTTCGGCAGAGTACGTCCGATGGGGTTCTAGGTGAATTCATCCCAGACAATTCACCCCAAAGAAAAGCATCCCAAACATGAAATTCCAATGGAATTTTTCACGGTCACAGCAATAATTCAGGAAGAAAAAAACAAACTTTATTTTCACAGAAAAGGGCATTCATCACAACATCAAAATCAATCAGATACTTCACGATTCTCTCCTAGTATTGTTTACACAACCGATCAACGGATTAACAGGAAACATTGCGAAAAAACGGTGAAATCATTCTTATCCATTTCAACTAGCATTCGCCAGATAGGCCACACGTAATAGACCGCAGCATCGAAGTATAAAGTCAGTACAAAACTTGAAAATTAATCCGATAAGTCACGCGCTTCCGCCAAGCGTATTTCATCCAAACAGTAATAAAAAATGTGGCGGTTAGGTGTATAGAGAGACAATAATAACCCGTGGTTGTGGAATATAAAGGCGTTGTATTTATCGCAGAGATGTGTTCACATCGAATATATAAATCGGACTGAATTCAACTGAGCTGATTGACTGACTGAGATATTCGCCGGGGAGCGTGCGAGTTTAACCCTAGACTGGTCACCGTGCGAGGGAATTGCCGCAACACGTCGTTTTATTCACCTTGCCATCGACTGGTTGACCGGAAAAATTTGAGAAAAATTGAATTCGTCAATTGAAGTATCTGGAAAATTCTACTATTTTTTTTTCGATATTGTTTTTTTCGATATTAATTCTGGGAGAAAAAAAATTATTTCCAACAGGTGAACAATTTTTTCCCGTGTTAAATGAAATTGCCTGTTGCGCGACGTTGCTGGGAACTCGCTAAACGCGCCCGGGAAGTATAGAGTGGATTCGGCAACGCTGGAGCCTAAATAACACGGCCGCAACCCTCCCGCAAAGGTGACTAAAGCCGCATTTTCCCGTCAGGTGACCAGACTCGGGTTGAATACCTTCTGTTATGGAAGGTTCGGGAATCGTCCAGAAATCTCGTGAGGGACAAGGACAGAATGATGCCCGTCTCGAATATCACGGTATAGAATATTCGAGACGCGTTAATAAACTTCGAAACAATAATTCGTTTGTGGCTCGCGCCACAAAAAAAAAATGGGATGAATTTGTTTTGGGATGGAATTGTTTGGGATGAATTAACCGGATACCGTCCGATGGGGACGTCAGGTCTTATTAGGTGAAATGTCACGCAGCTACCCGACAAAAGAGGTTCAGCGGGGGCTGTGGGGAAATCATGGAAATTCTACATTCGATTTTCGGGGTCATTACAATAACTTCCTTCCTTCGGGTCGGCAGATAAAAACCTAACCGACATGAGGAGCCTTTGGTGTCACACTGGAAATTATAATTTTATCGAGCTGTTCTCATTTAAATTTGCGGGTATTTTCCCACGCTATCACCTCTTCCAAACCATCAGCATTACCAACATTAAATAACCCACAATACCTTCGCTCCCTGCCCATTTCACTGTCGGTAAAGAGAATAATCTGGCTTTAGAGCACTTTAGAGCTGCCTCAATTTTGTCTGGATGCCAAAAAGTGGCGCTGATATCTGTCCACCACCGTCAGAAGTGGCGTAAAGGCGCGGTGTTATGGCGTCGGGAGCCGATCAGTGAATCTAACGTCCAGTAACGACCTGAATAAATAAAACAGCATTGCCCTAATAACTCACTAGTTAACTTGACATCTCCCGACCATCGGAAAGCCAATTAAATTGACCGATAGCCACGTACAATCGACAAGTGTGACCCACCCATAACGCAACACAGACGTGTTTCTCATGAGGTGCAAACGTGTAGCGTGGACTTGAAACGATCTGGCCTTCGAACAAGTTCTAAATACCAATTACACAGTACTACTCAACAAAACTTTGTAGTTTACCACTTAAGGACAATCAGCACTGCTGCATCGTTAACTTTGGAGTCTCCAGGACGTTAGAAGGGTTAGTGGAGTGATATCGCATGCGTCCAAACTCCATAAACAATTGTAATAATTTATAAAAATGAGCAATCAATATTTCAGCCGTTTAACTGTCGTTTGTACAGTTAATCAAAAATTTTTCGTCGATTAAATTGATTATTCGGATGTTTTTGACTGATATTTCACCTCTTTTTTAGGTACATTGGGGCAGAATGGAATCACCAAGTGACTTTCACTCGGAAATCGCAACCTAACCTAAAGATGAGACTCTGACACTCATTGAAAAAGAGAATTTTACAATTTATCAATTGTAAAAATTGTTTGATATATTTTTTTTTAGCTGATTTTTTTTTGATAAATAAGGAACAATGTCGGCGAATGCACAGTTTGCAAGCCCACCACCGGTGATTAATCTGCCGAATATGTCGGTGCCACCTCCTACCACACCGAATTTATCAGCACCACCACCCAATTTAACGACCATCAATACCTCTGGAGGGTATCAGCATCGATTTAATAATCATAGGGAGGGACGGGGGTTCTTCAAGCCCTTCAGGCCTTATCATGCACCCAAAGTTATTTCTGGGGGGCAGGACGCATTGCAAGATGAATTCGATGGGAAGAGACTGAGGAAATCTGTTATGAGGAAGACTGTCGATTATAATTCGGCCATTATCAAGAGTTTGGAGGTATAATCAACAGTATTTTTGAATGATGACAACAATTCAATTGTTGAATTATTGTTTATTCAGGGGTATTGTGCACGCCGACAAAGAAAATGAACACAAAATTTTAAAATTCACCTCAAACATTGCTGAATCCACTGCATTTAGAGAAGAGACTCAATTTTTTTTAGCCCACAAAATTTTGCACAAATGATCGGCCATCAGATTTTTAATGCTTATCTATACTATGGTTATTTCAGTGACTAGCACTTTGCCCCTCATTAGATTATCCATAAAAAGATCTGTTAATGAATTCGTCTCCACCTCTTTGGAATGTCTCAATGGGAGTCTGGACTTTTCACAAGAAAAATATTTTATTGATTCAAGTACATTGTGAAGTAATTTTTTTTTATATCAGTTAATAACTCTGATGCGTGAAAATTAATTCCACGAAACAACGATGCAGGCAAGAGACGAGCTTGAATATTGGAAAACATTCGACAAGATCTTTTCTGTAGATTCTGAAATTTTGCACAGAAGAGGTGTCTCCTCATCGAGATAATTTAACAAAACGAGAAAAAAATGAAACCCCAAGATGTGCAGAATAAATTCTCATGAAATTTCCTCACGAATCAAACAGTTTCGGAGATTTTTACGAAACAAACTGAAATTGCGCTCATCTATTTCGCCTCGAGTAGTGAGTTGATCAATCGAAAAAATATTTTTTTGATGAAAATTGTAGAATCGAGTTTGGCAGAGAGACTACAGAGATCGACGTGCTCTCCAGCCAGATGTTATGTACTACCCCGACCTCCTCCCACCACCCAGCTACGTCGACAATCCAATAAATGCTGTTACAACTCGTTTCGTTAAAACAGCAACAAATAAAATGCGTTGTCCTATATTTTGCATGGCGTGGACACCAGAGGGTAGAAGATTAGTCACTGGTGCCTCCAGTGGTGAATTTACACTTTGGAATGGATTGACGTTCAATTTTGAAACGATTCTTCAGGTAAAACGACAGTAACAAAAGTAAAATAATGAATAAAAACTTCAGAAACACTTTAAAATCACGAAACAATTATTGCTTGAAACTGCTTAATAATTGAAACGTTTTACCATGTTTTTTTTTGTTTTGTTTCTGTTGAATAATTTGTTTAGGCTCATGACAGTCCAGTTAGAACGATGGTGTGGTCACACAACGAGAGCTGGATGGTCACTGGTGATCATGCTGGATACGTCAAGTACTGGCAGAGCAACATGAACAACGTAAAGATGTTTCAGGCCCACAAAGAAGCGATTAGAGGACTCAGGTATAACATCAACAACCACACTAGAAATTTTTGTCGGTTTTCTATTAAACTATTTATATTTTATACAAATTTCATCGTTATTATTCTTATGAGATATCTGATATTTTTTGTTCATGTCCTCTCTATTAATCGGTATCCACCTTGAACCTTTTTCTGATGAGAAATGAAGAATAAATTGTTGAACAATCCCTGATATCCCATGAAGGAAGAAATAAACATGAGAAAAAAAAATTCTTCTGAGCTCGGGAGATGAATCCAGAGCTGGTGGATTTACAGATTATTTTGGAAGTGTCTAGGGGAGGAAGGGGTTTACGGAAATTTGGCTGAAGATTTTTCTGCTAAAATTTTGCCTCCCAATTCACTGGTTCCCAAGATATTTACCAAATAATCTCAACAAAGTTGATTTCCTCGCCGATTTTTCGCGACTTTTGATGCTCCATTTTTTCATTAAAAAAATGATTAACATTCCTATCAATAATTTATCTATCCATTAACAATTTTCCTCGTCAACGAATCCCCTATTTTTTTTTAAATTTAATCATTCATTCACCATTTTTCAACTTCGTGAGATTTTTATAATGCGCCAAAACTATTGGGAAAATGTATCTGTTAATAAATTAAAATAAAATGAGGAAAATATATATATAATTTTATATATATATTGCTGATATATGGAGCCACCCAATATTCGAGTATTTCCTACTTTTGAAATGCATCAATAAAGAATACTATTATCCTGCCTCCTTGTTACAACATTTTCCAATACAAATAAAATTGAATATACAATTTACTAAACATGAAATGCAATTTTTTTCCAATAATAAAGGTCAATGTTTTTTTTAAATGATTGCGAGAATGAAAAAAAAATAATATAAAATTGAAACATGACTCGGGTATTCGTTTTCACGGGATCGTGGGGGGGTAATTGGCATGAATGTGTGTGAGTGCAAGCAATTATCGAAGAATACAGGCGATTGAATGAATTTTCAAGACACTCAATGTACGTTTGTTTTTTCTCGTCCGCTGTTTGTTGTAATAAACATTGAAAATTTATTAAATTTCACTGAGTTAAGAAAAAATATCACTTGAGAACATTGTCCTATGGTCATGTGGCATCGAATTGAGCACAAAAATAAACTCGAAGCATTCTAAAAACTTTCAAAACTTTCATTTCATTTCTTTCTATTTTTCAAAACCTTTTTTTTTTATGAAAATGACAAATTTTCATTTGACTTTTTTATGATCAAAATTTTTTTACAATTTTCGAATGCCAGATATGACTGTCGGCAATGAATTATTGTTCGCCCGTAGCTGCTCCCTCATATTTAAAAAGAAAACTTCATAAATTTTATCGGTACGTGAAAATTCTGGTGAAGTGGTGAAGGGTGATGATGCTGGTAAATTTTCCATTTTTGTCAATTGTGAATTCATCTCTGAACTGGTGACCAAGAGGCCTTTTTTTTGGCAGAAAGCAATTTCCTTCAAAAACATCAGTTTATGATTTCTCCAGTTTGCACTCATTACTGAGATGATTCAGCAATCAACAAAAAAGCTGTATGAAATCGAGAAGTTATCAACTCATTGTATTCCTCCCGACAATGAATGACTTTAGGACAGAAGTCGAGAGAACTCTTTCTTACTCGATTAAATTCCCAGTGAGGAAATATCTCTCATCACTTCCTCCTCAACTCTCTCATTGATAACAGACCATGACCGAGATAATTTCATACTTAACATAATTCCAACAATCGACAAGTCTCGTTAATTTTCACCTCTTCACTACTGAATCAGTTGAATTCTCAATTAAAAATTCACTGTTAAAATCACACACAAGCTCTCAATTTCTTCTGTAATGCATTCAACGAATTAATTACGTAAACATGACGTGACAGTAACTAAAATATCGAAAACAAAAAATATCTTACGTTAACGTGAGAGCGGTAATTATTATATTTTTTTCGACCGGTAGTTTCAGTCCAACGGATCACAAATTGGCGACGTGCAGTGATGATGGAACCGTAAGAATTTGGGACTTTCTACGGTGTCACGAGGAAAGAATTCTCAGGGGTATAAAATTTTTATTTACCTTGTTGTCTGGTTATAAGAGAGGTATCAAAATTTTCATGGTAACTTTTATGGCTCTCAGTGTTCTGCACAAGAATGATTTTCCCAAAAATTTGATATCTCTTTTCAACTGTAAGATATTGAAGAAAGAAAATGAATTGAAGTTGATCAATTCATAAAATTGATCAATTGACATGATTAATCAATGAATTATAATGTAATCAGTATCAATGATCAATCCCAAATTATTGTGCACTATCAATTAATATTATTGATTATGAATCATTAAAGCATCGAGTTAATCATTTTGTGGTGTTTATTCATGATTATTCAACTACTAGTCTCGATTGTAGGTGACTGAGATGACGAAAAATTATGTAAAAATTGCCTTTAGGTCACGGAGCAGATGTGAAATGTGTGCACTGGCACCCGCAGAAGAGTCTAGTCATCTCGGGAAGTAAAGACAATCAGCAGCCGGTGAAGCTGTGGGATCCAAAGACTGGACAGTCTCTGGCTACTTTGCATGCTCACAAGAGCACAGTTATGGACGTTAAATGGAACGAGAATGGTAACTGGTTGGTCACAGCCTCCAGGGATCATCTGCTCAAGCTTTTCGATCTGCGGAATTTGAGTCAAGAGGTGCAGACATTCAGGGGACATAAGAAGGAGGCATCCAGTGTTGCTTGGCATCCCAGCCATGAGGGGCTCTTCTGCAGTGGTGGAAGCGATGGAGCTATATTATTTTGGCATGTTGGGTAAGGAGATAATGTAAAGCACTCGGAACGGATGCAAGTACATTTTTTAAAAATAATAATTGTCTATTTATCTCGCGAATGAGTGATTTTACAAAAAAAATCGAAAAGCGTTCGCAGAAAATCAACTGTTTTTTGTTTCCAGAGTTAATGGTACTGGGAGAAAAAAATATATTATTTGAGTTCAGACAAGAAATCCCGAAAAAATATTTTTTGCAAGAATCACAGGGTTCTCAGATTAAAAACATTTGAAAGGAATAAAAACGGAAAAATTACTAGTTCAAAAACGAAAATGTCCTTGAAGAATGCAAAAGTTGCAAATTCGAGAGCCAAGATTTTTTTAATGGAGATAATGTGCCTCAATTTAACTACAATTGCACTAGAATCTAGTAAAAATTATTGAGAATCAGCATTTTTTCCTCTTTTTAAGAGAAGTTTTTCTTAAAATGAAAATTTCACTGATTTGTGGGATTTTTTCTCCATTGGATTTCAGTAGCGCACAGTTATTCTCAATTTTTTTTATGTTTACTGTTCAAATAAGAAACGGTTTCGATGATTTCTTCTAATATCTTACCGATTGTCCAGATAATTTAAGGTTCAGTAAGGTTTTGTCAAGTGTTTTTACATTAAATTCAAATACATTGAATTCAAATGAATGAATATAGTTAATCCGAAAGATAATTAGAAATATTTCGTATGTTTTCAGAGCTGACAAGGAAGTGGGGGCTATCGAACAGGCTCACGATAGCATCGTATGGACACTAGCATGGCATCCACTGGGTCACATTCTCTGTTCAGGAAGTAATGATCACACGTCCAAGTTCTGGACGAGAAACAGACCTGGGGACTTGATGAGGGATAAATATAATCTCAACACTTTGCCGGCTGGTGCTTGCGGAATCGATGATCACGAAATAGGTAATTAACCCTGAATCAAATCGAATAAAAAACGACAAAGTTCTCAAACAAGTCTTAGTTGTGCCAAGAAAATAGTTTTTTGAAAATCCCATACGTAATCGCATTATGAATATTTCTCTTTCAACGACTTATCGTCGTTTGCTTCATCGTTTAATACTTGTAATCGTTAACTTTCAGCTGATGAAGCAGCAGTGATACCGGGAATGGGCCCAGAAGACAAAATAAACACAGATATTGAACTGGAGGAGGAGAATAATGCGGCAGGAATCACAGGAATTCCTGGTTTAGACCTAGATCATGCCGTCGACGAGAGCAAGAAACTGGCGAGCAAGAAAGTCCCATATTCCAAGCCAATTCCAAGAAATTTCCAAGCCCAGTGGAACGAAATGGAGGCTGAGGATCCAGAGCAAGTCGAGGCACTGAATGCCATCGTCAATCAACTCATTGAGACGACCCCAGGCGCTGTGCCTCTCAATGAAGTCACCCCAAATGCTATTATTTTGTACGGAAAAATGGTCCCTGTTGAACGTAAGGATTTTTTCATTCTACCAATTCCTCCAAAAGATTTTTGTCAATTTTAATTTAACATAAAGATCACTCAAGCAATCTCATCTGTCACAATTTTTGTTTTAACAATTTAACAAAATTTCGCACAGTATTTTTTTTAATTCGAAACATTTCACACTTTATTCTGCGTTTGTGGAACAACTGCATTTTTCCATGAGACTCTACATTAAGGATATCCAAGTACTTCGTCTATTTATTCTCATTTTTTCTCGGATTCCAAGAGACATATTGACATTTGGAAAAGACATTGAGAAAGTCAATGGAATTGTCTCTGCAGTAAACTATTTCATTGATCTATTTCAATAAACTATTTCAATGATCCTTCTATCGAATGGCAGAAGTTAAATTTCGCTTTGTTGAATAATTTGTTTCCTATAAATAAATTTTTCATATTCGAAGATCTCGGCAGCCAATCATCGGCAAATATTGAAATTGTTGTCAAAAATGCGGAAATTCTCTAGGAGTTTATTCCAAAGTTCAACCCAGCCAATGCATTTCATTTCAATTATTTTCGTTCGACTGTTTTCAAATTATCGTTCATTGAATAACAGAGTTGACGCGCCATACGTGAGGGGTTAAACCCCATAACCCCCTCCCTGCGAAAGTTAAATCACATTCCCGTCACCTAATCCTCACGTCTATCCTTCCAGCGGGTTCCAAGCTAGCAGACGCCATTCTCAGAGGAAACGACGCCATCAACAAGCTGGTAACAGCTGGTGAAATAGAAGAGCTAAAAGACGTCGCACTAACCGTCCCAGAGCCCATCGAGGATCCCGAGGACTTCCTCCAGGACGACGGTGACATTGACTACTCCAAGGTCCCAGACATTGACCTCCCGCCACCGCTCCCCTCCTCAAAATTCGCCCAGAATCCGGAGCTCCTCAAGGCACTGAACCGCGGTGGTAAACGAAAGTTCGATCAATTGATCGGTTGGTCAGAGAGCAACGACAAAAACTCCCGCCTCCACCAGCCAGTCTTCGGGGGCTCGACACTGGAGGACTCCTGCAACAGCGACACAGATCTCCGCCACATGATGCACTTAACAGGTGTCGACATGGCGGCCTACCTGGCGCAAGACGAAGACCTCAGAAGATTGAACAGCCTCGACAGAATGAACAACATCGGCAACATGAACATCAACAGCATAAACAGGGACGAGGATCTGCGCTTCGGTGGTGGCTCAAGTGGGCCCGGAAGGCCTGACTTCGACGGACGTAATTCCTTCGGGGACCGGGACTTCCGGCCCAACGTCCCACCCCCCAACTTCAAACCCTCCAATCTGGATGGAGACAGCTACGGAGACAGTGACAACAGGCCCCGGCCTTGGGACGACGACAATGACAACCGAAACTTCGACAAACGAGACATGATCTCTTCAGCCCTGGGAAATCCACAGCTGGGCTCGTTATCCCTGCAAATGGGGGGCCTATCGTCCGGTGTCAATCATCTCAACGCCAATCACCACAATATGCAGAATATTTCACCCAATATGCCACCGACAATGGGCCTTGCTGGCAATATGGGACTGAATTCTTCTCTCCAAAGTAAAAGTAATAATCTTATGGGCAGTGGTATGGCCGATGGTCTGCCCCCTCACATGATGCATATGCCCCCCAACTTTGGGCCCAATGGGCCCAACGGACCCAATGGATCGCAATTACCACCGAATTTCAATCCCAATTTACGACCACCAAATGGCAATTTCCCTGGGAATCATCAGTTCAGGCCCATGGGGCCCTTTGCACACAATAATTTTGGAAACTTTCAGGGCCCACCTGGTTTCAGATGTCCCAATCCCAATAATCCTCCCCCCAATTTTGAGAGGGGTGGCTTCGGACCCAATTTCAGGGGACAGATGGGCGGCAGTGGTGGGGGCAGTGGTGGATTCAATTCGGGATTTAATAATAAAAATTTTGGAGGGGGCAACAACGGCGGGGGGAAGAGTGGGGGCAGGGGAATGGGGAGGAGTAATGACAATAACAGGAGTAGTTACGGTGGGAGAGGGAGGGGAAGGGACGGCGAAGGGTCCAGGGGGTCCAGGGGGAGGGATAACTATTGATCATGATTGGGGAATTTTCAATTGATCAGTGAAGAGTGGAAAGTGGTGATCGATGGCTTTTTCCGTTCATTTGAGGACTAGGAACAAATGAAAAAGAAAATGAATTGAATTGGACGGGCTTCTCTGCGTTTAAGAGGAAAATAAATTGTAATATAAATTGTAAGATTACAGTCGATTTATGAGTTTGATTGTTTAATTTTAAGTGAGAATCAATAAGTTTTCACGCAGATGCCTTGGAAATTAGGGGAGTTCCGAGGATGTTTTGTGAGTGTGCACTGAGGGATGAGTGAAAATTCAATCGATTAAGATGTTTACTTAATAAAATCGAAAGTATATCGAGAAATTATTGATTATTCTGAAGGTTGAAATTCAAATTTTCAACTGATTTTTTTTTTTTTCATCATTGGCTGTTATTTTGATGTCGACTGCAGTTTCCCAGTTTTATTTTCTTCAATTGCAGACATGGGAGTATGAAAAAAAAATTAATTGTGTGACTATGTCAGGAATTTTTTTCAGAAGGAGAATTGTGAAAAAAATATTGCTTGACATTTCTTCCCTCAATTAGTATTACTGTCATGTTCACTATATAATTTCTTTTCAGGTTGAGAGAATGAATGGTCTACAGTAGTGATTCAATGTCGAGTTCAATATTTATTTTCTCCATTTTAGATAAGTATGAAAATATTCAAAAAAAATATTTTCATGTGCTTAATTGATCAACAGGTGAGTCAAATAGGACGTCCAATTTCATTAATAATGTCATTAAGAGTAACAATGGGTTTTAGCTCAGAATTTGAAATGAAAAAAAAAAATTCTCAAATCAAGGAAAAAATTCAAAATAATCAATTTCACCGAAAACACTGCAGTATCTTAAAAAAAAATACAATGATTGAGACATACTAATGTCCATACAAAATTTCCCCACCCAATCACTCAACTAAAAATCCGGTCAGTAAATAACCCCCTAAATCATTCATCATGATTTCAGGATGTGTCCTATTCGGTAGTACCTGGTAGCCCCTACAAAAATTACTAAAAAGTCTCAAATTAACAATATCCTTTCTCTGTTTGAGTGCAACATACGTCTCCTGGAGGGGCTCCCTGTGACAATGATAAATGACAAAAGGTCTCGATGTACCGAGAAAAGTGAGGAGGCTATTGATAATACTGGATGGGTGTTCCTTAGTCACAACGACAAGACCATCGGCATTACTCTTTGTAAAACATTTAACAGCATTTCTCGTTTGATTCAGCCACTTTGGCTCTTTGAAGCTGTCCGGAACATGGCAAATTCCATTGTGCATTGTCTCCAGCCCCTCCATCCTCTCCCTTTCCTTATCTCCTTCCCCTTCAACACCATTCTCCACCACTTCATCATCCAGCTTCACCTTCTTAGCAGGTGCAATGCCCTCCGCATCTTGCATCTCCTTCATCCTCTTCCAGTCACAATGCTTCGCCACCAGCTCCTTCATAATCTGTCCCTCACCCTGATGATAAATCCTCAAAAAATTCTGGACATTCGCAATTATCATCCTCTTCACCTGCTCCTCCGGAAAGTTCATGGCCTGAACCAGCGTCAAATGCGCCTGATTGCCAGGATGCAGATACGCCATAACACCACTGGTGTCTGCTCCAATCCTGCTAAGCAATGCAGCAGCACACAGTCCAGATGTTCCACTGTCGTACAGCAAGAACTTCCCCTCAGACCTGACATCCGAATATGACAGAATCTGTGAGAGAGTATCCATTCGCAAGAAATTGATCTTCGAGCAGTCCTGTCGAAAGTAAATCTCCTGGATCATGGAGATCGAGGGCTTTCTGATTGTCAAATATCTGAAGTACTTTTTCTCCTTCTTTTTAATGTATTTCTCCTGGGAAAATTCCGTTTTCGTGGTGAAGGAGCTGCTATTTGAGATTAAGGTGGTGACGATTTCTTTACTGGACTTACCAGCTTCCCGCAGGTCCTCTATTTCCTCCTTGGAGAGCTTCTGGGAAGTACCGTCGTCGGTTATTGATCTGTTGTCGGTCCCGCTGGACAGGCCCTGGCGAATGTCCTCCATCGTCTCAGCTCGGAGTGTTACCTCCAGGGAGACGTGTTTTTTCGATGTTTTCGAGGGCAACATCTTGAAGGTTGTCCAGTAGGGCTTGTTCAGGAGATGCTCCATTTCTACTTGCTCTTTTCCTAGGGTGAAGGTACCCTTTTCGGTTATTTTGCAGAGCTTTCGGAAATTCTGCTTCTCGATTATCACGTAGCTGCCTGGTTGCACTGTCTCCTCGGCGATTTGGTGACCCATTTCGTTGGGCTATAGGGAGTTCGGTTTGAGGGGTGCTTGGGTTACTTGGAGAGAGGTCAACTGGGATGTTTGGTTTGGAGTGTTTTGACGCGTATTCGGAGGTTAGGGGAGACGACACGTGGTAACGTCTGGCGCGACTGGAGCCCCTCGATTGGCCGCGATAGACTAAAGTAGAGGCTCAGATCTCGGGGTTCAGGCGACAACAAGACACAAATAGTATCACCCTAAAGGAGGGATGGCGCCACGGTCGAATCTGACGGCTGAGCGAGCTACCTATGCCGGTAACTCGCCAGTATAGGGCTTCCCGCTGTCACAGGGATAGTTGCGGAGGGGAATTTATGCCCTCCTCGTCTTCAACAAATTCTTAATATTTTTCAGATAATTACAAATTAATTTAATTTATTTTGTATAGAGTGTAGGAAGTGGAAACACACAATTCTGAGCCGTCCATCTATCTATAGGGAACCCAAATTTCCTCAGGA